TGTCTCTTTGTTGGAGTTTGCTTTGTGGACTTTAAAACTGCTCACTTTTTATTAGTTGAAGTCTGCCTCTGCATGACTGCATTTGGGATCTCACCTACACACTCCAACATGACAGTCGTGGTCTTATCACAGCCTGCATCAGATAAAAATAGACAAAGTTGAGTTTGATTTTATATTCAAATGACCAAGAATGAAACGTGATATGTTTTCGAAGCCGTTTTGTTGAGTTTTCTTGAACGATGAAGACATTTTAACAATAAAAACATTTTACAGCCACACCATAAAGTTTTAGCTCAGGGCTATACAGTTATCATTAAACGGCATGATTCAACTGTGGACCGCTTTAACCAACAAATAACACATCATTCATTATTTGATCTCTTCTAAGGCAGGTTCTGATTTATTATAGATGCAGCGTTTAAAGTGAAATGTTTGATTTATGCATCCTAAAATTAAAAATTTCCTAACACCCTTTGATTTTCCAAAGTATGTGTACCTTGTTTCTTCATTCCTCAACGTCAACGTCATTGTTGGCAGAAGAGCTTGCTGTTTGGACCCTGATTGGCCCTCGCTCTCAAGGCATTGCTGTAATGATAGTTATTAAGCAGCCCCTGTCTTAAATAATCAACATTCTGACAAAGACTCCTGCGCAAGTCAGGCATAACCACCTGCTATTAAGTGCGAGCTTGTCATGCTGAAAGACCTTTATTGAAAATATAAATATAAATTCTGGGTTACAGCTCTGAGAATCTCTGAGGAACCTAAGACAAGGAGCTCCAGGAACAGCCACCGAATGGAGGCAGGGGCAGAATGACAACCAGTTTAGAAAGGCAGTCATAAATCTCAGACGATCATAGTGCAGGTGTTCACAGGTGCACTGCACACAGCAAGACTGGCACCGGCAGACACAGACCCCTTTAACAAGCACAGGCATTAAATACCTGGAACCGTGGCAGTGACGTAACACTGTTTATAGGAACAACAACATGAAACAGTTCATTAATGCTCCAGTGATCTGTGAGCTGCTCTTGGCTTGTAAAGGTTGAAACGGGCCGTCGTGCATTTTCTCTTTGAATATGCATCGTTTGATTTAAGGTTAGTTTCGAGATTATGTCACGTAAAGTGAAAACTGAAGCCAATAAACAGCATGAAATCATTTTTATTGTGCATTTTGCTAATACACGCCATCTGCTATAGGTAAAAATCCCAAAATCCCATTATCCTGGCTGCAAAAAAGTTTGAAGCAAAAATAATAGAAAGGCAACACCTAACAGTTTGTAAATACTGCCATATGTAAGTATGGGCATATTTACAAGAGACAGTAGCATGCTATGCTATCAGCTGAGGCTAACAAGCTCAGTTAAAAAGTACATCCATAAACAGTAAGGCTACAGTGCACAGAGTTAATTAGAGCTAGCTGATAGAAGAGACTAATAGAAAACTAGGAGAGATGACGGCTGCTAGACAGCTGCCAGTGTCAGCATCGTTGTCAATCAACACACTGCTAACTTTCAGCCTGCAGATGAAATTAATATGAGACTGTAGTTGGAACTGACTCACTCTTCAGGTGGGCACTTGAGGAACTTGGCTTCATGTTTGAACCCCAGAGATGCTACTTGGTTAAAATGTCTCCCAAAAATGTGAAAAACGGAGCTCAATGATGTGGACGTATATTTTGCTTTTGTTTGATCATTTTTCACAAGCAAATCAGTTTAGAAATGATGTTAGTAATGACTAATAAGCAGTGTTTGTCAATAAACTTGAAAATAGTAATTAATTACTAATTACTGATTACTTCCTTAAGACAGTAATCCAGTTACTTTACTGATTACATATTTTCAAAGGTAATTAGTTACTTAGTTACTTAGTTACTTTCTAAAAACTTGATACACAAACTGAATAAGTAATAAAGCAGCAGATCTTTCAGCCCAGTTCTATTTTTTCTGCATAATCCATCATATAAAACTGAATCAAATGAAAAAGTCTGTTTTTAAAACTTGTTTTATTAGTTTTAATCTTTTAACTTTATGCACATTGCATCAAGCAAAAATTTAATTATATGCAGCAGTCTCTGACTGGAAGAAATGTGTTTAACATTTAAACCGTTTCTGCAGATTCCAGCTTATAAAATAAAATAAAGTTCTGTGTTTACACTCTTTCAAATAGATGCAATTAAAATACAGCAGAAAATAAATAAAATCAAAGATTTAGCAGCACTGAGTCCTGTCTCTTAGATCTTGTCACCTGTTTAGCAGGAGTGGGGTGGGTGGAGGTTTGCCCGGTGCCACAGTGGTCATGTCAGTGGGAGGATCCGGGGGTTTCTCAGTGAATGTCACATTCCCGTGGCAGCGTGCTCGGTGCTCGCTCAGATTTGAAGTTTAAGTTTTCACGGTAGAAAGATATTTTCTTCCCACACAGAGTGAACAGCAGACGCTAATGTTTTTGTAATTTTTTACAAAATCAAACTCAAAGTAATGTGAGTACTTCCAAGCTTTAAACGCTGCATGGTCGTACTCTCTCCTGCTCTCCATATTATCCATCGTTGATCTGCACACGTCTGTTGCTGCCACGGACGTCACACACTCGTACGTCATTGTCATGAGACACTCTTGCAAACAAGATCACGGTTTAGTAACGTGGTTATAGGAAAGTAACAGTAATCTAATTACTTTTTTGCAATAGACATTACTCGTTGCTTGAAAAAAGTAATGGGATCACAGCCCATCTCTGCTAATGAGTAATAACAAGTAGCTTTCAATAGTCTGTTGAGGAGGTGATTGTAAGATGCTTTGTGGGAATCTTCAATTCAAGCACGACACGGCTGAAAACTTCCAGTAGTAGCTCTTTATCTTCCATTTAGAGCTGAATTTGTTCATTTGCCACATAGTAAAGAGTACAGTGCTGTGCTAGAAAAGCTGGCATTGCAACAGCTGACCTTAAAAACAAGTTCATGTTTTTGAAGTTGTAGATTTTTCTGTGAGGTTTTTTTCCTGCACAGTTCACAGAAAACTTACCTAACATACCATACAGCCACACGCAAACAATGCAGTCTGCTGAGCCTTTAAGCAAATTTTCTAGTTATAGAAGTTAATAAGTCCTCATATTTAACATTTTTCTCATTAGTTGACACCTCAAACCAGTAAAAATTTTATGCAGCACACAGTCATTCAGCATGGGCATCTAGATGAGAGAAATGATGAGAAATTGTCATGTTGACGTGGATATTACAGAATGTGTGGTGTTGGAAACTCTAAATGGTCCATATTCCCTGTGATTTGAAGATCAAACCTTTTATAGTTTGCCCGTTTTGGCTTGGTGCTATTTATAGTAGAGTGACAATAAAAGTGTAGTTACTGGCTTCTTGCTAGTTGGTCAGGATACTACACGTTACCACAATAGTTAGCACAGTTCCTCATTTAAGACGTACCATGTCCTGAGACAAAGTATAAGTGGCATTAACAGAAGTGGAAACAAATATTTAAGGGATACACATAAAATCTGAAGGAAAGGGAGGAATAGTCAAACTCCTTCACAGATGCAAACACAATGACTATACTTAGGTTTCAGTTCCTCAACTCCTCTTTTGTTTCTGCTGTATGTTCACAGAATTAGATGGAAGTCATATTATTATCAAAACTGAAATTTGAACAAGGCTGTGCTGTGTGAGACACTTGGACAGTGTTGTTGAGCTCTTAGTGACAGAGCCTCGGTGTTACTCTAACTAAGGCTGTTTGGCCAGCTGCCTTTTGAAAGCGTCACACTATTGAGGCAATGTTTAGCTGAGGAATGTTTTGTGCCAATTATTCACGGAGTTAAGATCTTTTCTGTTGCTCGGATTGAAATCCTTCTTGACATCATCCTCTTGCCAATTGTAAAGCCCCCTCCCCACTTTCTTCCCCTTTTGCCATTTCCAGAAAATAAACAGCATGCAGATTTTATCTGGGATTTTCATGGTTACCATTTTGTTAATGGCAGCCTGGCCTCTCGATGAGAGGAGGAACATTTTTGTGGGGCACGGTTTGGTTGTTGTAGCAACGTTGTTGAGGGCTGAATGAAGCAGATGTCAGAGTGATCTATCAGCCAGCAGCTCCACACTCCCACTGCTCACTGAGGAACAACGCTGCTGTGACACCCTCTGCACGGCACCACGGCTGTCAGTAACACCCACTTTGCTCCAAACTATCCTCACAGTAACCGCAAAGCTTGAAATATGTGCATTAAACATAAAATGAATTCCTGCTGATAATTCTGAGACATTAATTTACCCAAATAAACCATGACAAGAGCTGAGAAGCACGGTTTTACATGAAGTCACCCATGAACTCTGATACAGATCATTTTAATAACATGCGATTTTTGTAACTGAATCAAATCTCATGTGATGAAACTTGAACAAATCTAATTACACAATTTCCAGAAGCCAATTTTTATTTTAAATTGTTTTGCAAGTGAAATGTAGTTTCTCATAAAAAGATGGGAGTATGACAAGAGCTCAAGAGTGATTTTCCTCAAGTAAAAATTGATTATGGTTGCGTGTTGTAATTATGTTGTTACCATCCAAAGTAAACTTAATACAAGCTGTGACATTGTGAAACAATCATATACGCAGAAGCCTTGTTTTAACAAAGACTTGTTTTATTGGCGATGCTTTGGAAAAGAACCATTTTATCTATAATCGTATATTCTAAACTCAATGTCTCTGATTGGTGGAGTTACTATTACCATAGATGTTTAAACTTGTCGCAATCTGGTTCAGAAACCGTGTACAGCCATGAGTGTAGCACTGCACTATACCAGTACATAGACTGCACTTCACTCTACACACATCACAAACTATAAATATTTAAAACTTATTAGTATAAAATATTGTTCTGCAACACTATAGTAGCTAAAAAAATTAAATTCAAGAAGGCTGATTTAGGAAGGCTGGAAGCTGTGGAATTTGGGATTGGCAGTAGTTGTAATTTCTTTACTTTGAAAAGGTTTTTTTACCTTTGACCTTTTTGTTTTTGTTTTTGTTTTTGATGCAGATCAAAATTCTTTTTATGGTCATGATTCACCTGATAGTTGGCTGGGTACGTTCAAAACTGATTTTATACGGAGTTTCTGAAACTTCAATGGAGAAAATGAATAGGAATTTATAATATAACTTATAATGAAGCTGAACGATAACACAAAACTAGAATCTGTGCCACAGGCATTTCATAGTTGATTGATGTTGCATGCTAACAAAATCTGTGTTTGATTTATTTAGCTAAAGGGTTAGCTAAACAAGCTACCTAGCTAGGTAACTAAGGCATCAGTCACACAGGTCTTGGGGCCAGTAACCCCCTGACAACTTCTAGCTGCAAGCGGAAAAAGTCTATTAACCAACTGAGTGGTGAATGGTTGCCCGAGGTTGCTTGATATCACCATGTGAAATTGGTTGCAAAGAAAGTGCTGCACCAAAAACTTCCTTGTGATTGCTTTGGTCACTAGTAGACTGCCATGGTCTCCCATAGTTTGCATGATTTGTCTGCAAGCACTTACAAAACTTTAAACAATTGAGAAGGTATAGCTAAAACTAGAAGTGGAAAAGGTTATGCTGGTTGCAGTGTACACATTTTCCCCTAACGACCAGCCAGGGAATCAGCGACCCTTATCTAGGCCTGCGTAATTAAGGAATAAAGAAGCTTGTAAAGTTCAGATAAGATGAAACTGTAATGGTATTTTTTTTAATAATACAGACAAAAGAAACATTCATGGAACACCTATCCTGAAGGTAATATTAGCATTTTCCTGAACACACATTTCAGTGTAAAAGAATTATATTGTGCTAACAAGGATAAAGGCACATCTTTAAAACAGTGTTTCAGCGAATGATTTCATAGTTCAAAAAACCTCTGTACATTTGAATGGTTAACAGGTGCATGGAGGGAAAAATGCCACAACAATTTAAAGATAACGCATTCAACAACGATTAGCCATTGTACCATTTCCATCTGTGCGGATGTTTCTGTAGAGGAGAGTAGTTGTATATGTGTTATGATTAGCTTTGAAACATGTCAGACTAATGGTTTTTTATCTGAATAATGGCATATACACATGGGAAGTGTCATCCATTAAGTGATTATTATATGCAGTGGGGTGAAAAAAGTATTTGCCTCTTTCTTGACTTCTTAGTTTTCTGCATATTTGTCACATTTAAATGTTTCATACATTAAACAATATTAGACAAACAATTTTTAAGTTGTGTTTTAATTTATTGAGGGAAAGAAAAGGTTATCTAAACCTACCTTGCCTTGTGTGACAAGGTAATTGCCCCCTAAACCTAATAACTGGTTGTGCCACCCTTGGCTGTAAGAACTGCAATCAAGCGTTTGCGATAACTGCCAATGAGTCTTTCGCATTACTGGGGAGGAATTTTGGCCCACTCTTTGTCATAGTCCTGCTTCATAACTCAAATGTGCTTGCACTTCAGGGCATGAACTGATGGCCGGACATTATCCTTCAGGATTTTCTGGTAGAGAGCAGAATTCACACTGTTCCAGACCATCACACTACCACCACCCTGTCTGTCTGCTGGTATGATGCTACATTTATTTTTACACAAAAAGTAACAGAGCTCAAACAGAGTAATATTCCACAGGATATTTTCCCTACCCTAACCCAAGTCTTGGAGATCATCAGGGCATTTTTGGCAAATCTGAGACGTGCCTTGCCCAGTCTCTTTCTTATTGTTAAATCATTAACACTGACTTTTCACACAGAGTCAGATTTTTTTTACCTATAATAAATCAAATCATAATTTTTCTTTGTCTAAGATTACAATTTGTTAGCTGACCCGAAACAAAATCTGAAAGTGGACAAATACTTTTTCACAGCAGTGTGTGTGTGTGCTAATGAGTAATAACAAATAGCTGTGTGTGTGTGTGTGTGTGTGTGTGTGTGTGTGTGTGTGTGTGTGTGTGTGTGTGTGTGTGTGTGTGTGTGTGAATATACAGACATACAATGTACCTCCTGAAGGTCAGTCAGACCAAAATGTTGTGACTAAATAAACGTGTTAGCAAGTGTGCAGGACTTATATTTAAATTGTAGTGGGTCATTTCCTGAAATCAGTAACACACACAATTACTAACATAAAGGGAAAACGCATCTTAAACAAAGATGGGAAATAAATAAAGAAATATTTATATAAAAATAAACTCTTACAAAATATTTTCTATTAACCAGCAACATGGGGATTTAGATCTGGAAGCTTGCATTTGCTCCTGGGGTTAACTAAAAATGTGGCTGCTCGACCACACCTTTCCAGACAACTAGCAGCAAAGTGAAGAGGAAATGGGACAGAGAACAAGTAGAAAACAATACTATCATACTTGACCCATAATCAGTAGTTTAATGTTCTGCTGTAGTTTCCCAAATATTCACTATTGGTTAGTTCAGACTGTTTGAGTTTTTATATCCAGTGTTTAAGTCTTCAAAAAAAAGTAACAAAGAAAAACCTTAAGTGCCCGTTTCTTTTTTCTTTTCTAAAAACCGGAATCTACACCACCAAACCTTTACTAGATTTAGTTGCAGTGAATCTTCAAAATGATCAGTAGTTTTCTCATCAAATAAATTATTAGTCGATTAACAAAAGAAAAAGAAAATAAAATAAAAACCTGTTAGGCCTACTGTTTAAGGTGAGTCATGCCAGTAGACCAGTACGGCCTGTGAAAACGTTAAGCATGCAGCACAAAATGTCAATCAATTTAAAACACAAAAAGAACATTTGTGAAGCTGATAGCTCAAGTCCAGTGTCGTGGCAGATGTCCATTGGCATCATTATAATCGACAAAGTTGAATGAAAAAGCTGTGATTGCTGTAACACAAGGGCAGCAAGGCAGTCTCTCCACAGATACTGAAACCCACGAACAACACAAAGGAATGTCCAGTAAACATATCTATTTACAGGTATACACTTCTGTCCTCTCACTGCACGTGTTGCACTTGACATAGCAGCACCACAGGAACTTGCAGTTGCACTGCCAAACACGCGAGTACTGATGTGTGTTGTATCCCCGACCACAGCACATCAGGTCACAGCTGTTGGGCTGCTGAGCTGTTTTGTTACACAGACGGCCCTGCGTCCCCATGCTTCCAGTCAGAGGGTCAGCCTCGCAGTAGTTGGGAGACCTCTCGATGTAGACTAGCTCCATGTCCTTGGGCTTGCGGTAGGACTGTGGTTTCTTGATCTTCAGGAAGGCGGGGCGCTTGTTCCGCCTGGCGCGCACAGGCTCCACATGAACAGCGTGGTTGTACTTGTCTTTGAGCATGTATCCCAGCTGACGGAATTTGGGGAGTGTCGTCCAACATGTCTTCGTGGTGCAGGATCCAGAAACCCCATGACACTTGCACTCTAGGTGCATGCTCTTCTCCAGGACCTATAGAGGAAAAGCTCAGATGAAGCAATCTTTTCAAACTTAAGCCATTGAAAAATTGTTATTTTATAACTAATGCATGCCTCCTGATAAAAGAAGTGTGCATAATTTTTGTCATCTTATACAATTTCGGTAGACTGTTTGTTGCTGTATTTCCATAATGAGTCGGTGGGGCGGGGGAGTCTAATGCTTCAACAGGTTGAGACAAACATTTTCTAGCATTCCAAATGAATACAAGCATTCCAGGGATCTCAGAGCTGCTACAGTATGTCAGTCTATAGCTACCAGCAATACATGTGCCATTTTTACGAGTCAGGATGAGCTTCAAAAGACAATCTTGAGTATCCGTAGTCGTTGAAATGAATTGAATTACAGTTCAGGAGTGGAACCTTTCAGTGTATTTGTTACAGCCAGGGGACTCTGTCTGTGCTTCTGGCTGAATGACATCAACTTACCCTTCTTCCTCCTCACTGAGTGGGAACCCTTGCACGCATTAGAGAAGCCTCACCCTGCTTTTTAATTATTCTACTCTGATGTGGCCTCAGACTTTCTGGAGTCTCGTGGGGTAATTGTCAAAAGCCTTGGATGCATACAGCTTAGTGTGGTCATGCCCCCGAGACCCGGCAAACATTTAATTCATGGAGTTCAGTGAAGTGAAATCCCAGTGAAGATGCCATTGTTTGTCTAACAGAAGCCCCGTAAGCCTCCTGTGGCACCTTTTACACTCTTGTTTATTCTTCTCAAGAAATTGGAAGGTTGGCACTCAAGTCACACAGACTGACATTATCTCCAATTAAACATGAAAGCTTTCCTACAATAATTACAGAGGTATCAGTTTAGTAAGTGTATATTAAGAGATCCACGCACTGTATCACATTGTGACTGATGTCAGGCCTAAAATATGAAGCCTCATCCCGAGAGACTTCGCACAGCCTTCTGCAAACAACATTTTAGATGCATTCCTCTAAAGTAAAGCTGTGCACACAGAGAAATTTTGACAAAGATTTGCTTAGATTTTTCATTTGATGCATGTAAGGTAAGGGTCTGCAGGAACTGCTATTTCTGTCTTTAATACATAGAAATTAGGTTTTCATCAACTCTATACACATCCTAAAATAATCTCATCTCATGGTCAGTTACATGATCTGATGCATGTCATTGAACAGAAACGAATATTTGATTGAGTTGAACTGCATAAAAGACTGAGCAGGATTTCCTTTTTACTTTTGTTTGACTACAATTAACTTTCTTCATATCTCTTCATCTATTAGCTTTTAATACTATTCTAGAACCAAAATGCCATTAAACTGCAAGAAAAGAAAAAGTTTGAAGCTAAATAGGTCCTGATACGTTTTTAATTTGCCTGTGTGTTCAACCACAGGTCTAAAATCAACTACACTAGAGAAATCTCAAGAGCATCCTCCATAATGATGCATTTGCACAATGTTGTGGTCATTATAAAACCTTAGCTCGTTGAAAATGCAAATATTTCCTAAACATCTTGGAGTTCGTATTACCGGTTTCAGAAAAGTTAGAGATTAAATAAAGGAGCATATATTTTATCTTGACAAAATTTCAATGACCATCCATGTGTGGACATAGTCAGGGCATAACAAAATTCAGTAGGATTTATTCTGGCTGAACCATCAGTATTTATATAAAAAATTAATGCAGGCTATTAAACAGTTGAGATACCAGAGCAAGCAGCAACCTCTCAGGCTGAGTAGTAAGGCCAGCGTTGAACTAATGTTCCTTGAAATTCTTCAAAGGTCAATCAGTCTCCAAAGACTTGAAATGCCCAAATTTTCAACAGAATAATTACATCCGCCAAACCATCAACCTGTCTATTAGATCCCATTACTACTGTTCAAAGAAGCTCTACCATTTATTAATGCTTCAGTCTTTATCTGTCTTAATGGACTATGTAGTGCAGGCTTTAATTAAACCACTACGTAAAAAGTCATCACTTTAAACAGCTGTCTTAGCTAATAGTATACTAAAATCCACTCATTTCTATGGTTGACGTGTCAGCCTTCAATAACACTGACCACAATATTGTATTAGAGAGATTAGAGCATAAACATAGGTATCAAAAGTACTGTGATGCAGTGGTTTGAATAATGTCTAATAGACTACAATTTCTTCATATAAATGTGGAGTCTTCTTCATACATTAACTTAATTATGGAGTTCCATAGGGTTCTGTGCTAGGACTCATTCAGTTTACATTATACATGCTTCCCTTAGGCAGTGTTATTAGAACAGCATAGCTACTTTTTCATTGTTATGCAGATGATGCCCAGCTTTATCTACCCATCTAGTTAAACTATAGACATGTCTTAAAAACATAAAGACCTGGATGACCTCTGATTTCTTGCATCTAAATATAAACGGAAGTTATTGTGCTTGGCATTAAAAATCTCAGAAACATATTGTCTAAACAGAGACATATTCTGATGGCATTACCCTGGGCTCCAGTAACACTGTGAGGAATCTCTGAGTCATTTTTGACCAGACTATGTCCTCCATTGTCAGTGTCCTCCATTGACACTGATATTTCTCCAATATTAGGATCTGTTCACTAGCAAAACTGAATTTAAAATCTCCTTCCTCCAAACAAAGGTCTTGAATAATCTGGCATCATTCCATCTTAAAGCCCTCATAGTACCTATTGTATCAATAGAGCTCCTTGCTTCAGATCGCTGGTTTAATTGTGGTTTCTAGAGTTTTCCTAAATAGAGTGGGAGGCAGAGCCTCCAGCTTTCAGGCCCTTCTGTGAAACCAGCTCCCAATTTGCATTTTGGAGACAGGCACCCCCTCTACTTTTAAGATTAGGCTAAAACTTTCCTTTTGAATAAAGCTTATAGTTAGGGCTAGACCCTGAATCACCCCTTAGTTGCTGTTGCTTAGCTGTATAAACACTCTCAATGTGCTTCTACGCAACTATTGTGTTTAATCATTAGTTATCTGGCTCTCTTCCACAGTGTGTCTTTTGTCCTATCTTCTCCCCCAACACACCAGAAGGCTCGCCTCCCTTAGCCTAGTTCTACAGGAGGTTTCTTTGTGTTGAAAGGGGTTTTTCTTTCCCGCTGTCTCCAAGTGCAGTGTCATAGGAGGTCATCTGAATGTGTAATCAATACAGTAAAATTGAATTAAATTGAAATAAGCATGCTCACAGCCTTAAACAAAAACATTTATCTTACTCTATAACTATTATTTACTAATTTACTTCATAAGCGCTGTACTGGAGACAATTTTAAGTATAAGTTTAATTTAAACAGGCACTCAGCAGGTGGGAACCCCATGAATGGGTGTAGTTGTTCTGTGAGTTTCAGAGGTGGGAAGTATGACATACACATTACCAATTATAAGTAGAATTTTCAGCTGGGTTTTATTTATCTGACAATCTTTCGCTTTTATTCCCCACATTGTAACAAAAATATTTGTACCTTGTTACTTATTATTATTACTTTAGACTTAACACACTTGAGGGAAGTGTTTATTTCATACCAATTTGAGCCTAACTGGGGGAACAATAACACATAGAAGAACACATACCAACAGAGAAAAGAGCCAAAAACCTTTAATTTGTTCATCATTTATGGTGCTATAGAACAGTGCTTTTGATGCAGATGAACACAATTCATGGTATAGCATCTAGCAAGGGCTACTGAATAGGTGTGAGCATAAAGGGAGAAACATTAACATCAAATACAATGTTTCCATCACCTCAACGAACACACAAAATGTTGTGTGCAGGTTGTCCCACAGTGCATCTGCTAGCTGAAAGTATGGCTGCTTTATTTCCAAGGAAAAGAATACAGTGCAAGATAACTTCACTCAGAGATGGAGGAAGAAACTAAGCTTATGTTTAAAGGTAAGGATTCCTCAGTGGCATTTGATAAAAATGGAAATATTAAGCTTGCAAGTTCTCTTTTTTAAAATCAGATTTCAGGTCTGACATGATGTAATGGTTTTCTATATTTGTCTGGCCCAACAAGAAATAATCAAAGACCCTGATCTATAAAGTGTTCAACAAAGCCCAGCAGGATTCTCCCATTTCAGTGCAGCTAGCCAACAGTGAAGAAGCTTACTTACTTACTTTCCAATTAATAATTGTTTCTGTCACTAGTTAGCTAACATAAACTGACGTAGCAGAATTAGTAGTAACCAACCAACCTACTGACATCAATTTCTTGTTTTCTAGATACTTGTTGTTAATCTCTGTCTCTCTTCCACAGCATGTCTTTTATCCTGTCTTCTTTCTCTCTCCCTAACCGGTCGCAGCAGATGGCCCCGCCCCTCCCTGAGCCTGGTTCTGTTGGAGGTTTCTTCCTTCCCACTGTCGCCAAAGTGCTTGCTCATAGGGGGTCATATGATTGTTGGATTTTCTCTGTATGGATTATTGTAGGGTCTACCTTACAATATAAAGCATCTTGAAGTGACTTAATTAACTTAAATATTGAAAATTGAATTGAATTGTCCGTACTTGACAAGATGGCACTACACATGCTCTAAACACCATAAAAAAATTTTAATCTAGCTTCATGGACAGTGTTAAATCTGTGACATTGTTTTTAGAGTTGGACTCCGTGGTGTAAATTAAGGTTAAAGCATGCAGACTTTCATGTCCACTTTAATAGTAGGAGCAGGATGTGCCTTCGATGCCTTCCAGTGCTTTTTCAATGGACTGTTTTCTTGTGGTTCAGTTTTGAGGACAGTCTTTTCTATTGATCAGTCGGTCGTCTGGCTCCTTACTGCTGTCTGCTGCTAATGATATCAGCATCAGGGTAATGCTCTTCCATATCAAAAAAGCAGTTCGAATCATCCACAGAGCAGGTTATAGGAACGTACAAACTCATTATTTTTGCAGTCTGAAATATTGAAAATTGCCGAACTAGTGAAATTCCAAACAGCACAAATTCTATTCAAAGCAAAAAATAAAGAACTGCCAGGTAATATTCAGAGTATGTTTTTTTTTAAAGAAGGAAGTTACAATTTAAGGGGTTTTTGTAACTTCAAAACAGGGAAGGTACGTACTACAAGAAAAAGCTTTTGTGTCTCTGTGCATGGAGTGAAACTGTGGAACAGTTTGAATACGGAATTAAAGCAACTTCCAAACATAAAACAGTTCAAAAAGAGTTAAAAAAAATATGATCTTCTCAATCTATAAAGAAAGGGAAAATATTGAAATTAAGTGAATGTCTCTATTTAAAAAATTTCATGATGTGATTTTATATCAGAAATCTGTTCACTGTTTTTATTACAGATTATATCAGTAAGAAAGATGACAAAATATTAACTGCTAACTTCTGGCAAAGGGGTGGGATTAAATAAGTGTGTAATTCTTCCCACTCCCTTTCAACATGTAAATGAATCAGGACGGTAGCTATATTGAAATATATTGACTTTTGTATAGTATTTTTCTCTCTCTCTCTTATTTTCTTTACTAAATGTACCTGTATATTGTTTACATGTTTGAAATAAATTAACAACAACAACAACAACATAATAATAATAATAATAATAATAATAATAATAATAATAATATGGTCGTCTTGGGTTTACCCTAATTTGTTTCTTTGAAAACACTATTACTTCATGAGTTCGTGTTCTCAAAATGATATTTGCACTAGTTTTGCAATGACCACACGATGCCCTCAGTGGCTCCTGATATTGAAATTTCTATGTAAAAAAAAACAACTGTTTTTTACCTTCATGTTGATATGAGCCATTAAGATTTTAACAAAGACTAAACAGTAGGAACCAGTACTATATTTTACTACCCAGTTGTTTCTGATACAACCTGTACAAACTACCTGCAGGTATTTTTTTGTCAGTGTATCTATATACATTTATGTGGCAGTGGGGCAGTTTGTCCATTCATTGGAATGTTGTGTTGTTATCCTCCACTTTGCATGTTAAAGTGTCCAAGATAGAGATAACCCTCGATGCAGATGTGTGTGACAGATAAATTTGTGTATGCATGGAAGGAAAGTACTATATGGGTAAATAAGGGGATGAGGTTCACCATTTTTAATGCCAAACTGTTAATTCTATTTCTAAGATGAATGTGTTTGTAGAGCTCACTGAAGCTTACGACAGAAAACCAATAAAGATTAAAGAAATAATCATTAAAACCCTTGTTTCCATGAGAACATTCTGGTGTTTTGGACACAGTGTTAAAAACACAATAGATAACAACAGATTTCAGTTTTAAGCAGATGTCAAACTGCTTTCACAGTTTTGGGAGACCTCTGTGTGTCGCTTGCAGGTAACACAAATGAAGGTAATAGAACTCAAAATGTGGGCAAAACAGCATTTTCTCCATAGACATTATATTGGAAAAGACACATGAAGAATGTAGAACATGCAAAAAGAAGACAGGTATGTGCCTTGTTGAGCAATCATTATTAAACTGAGTGGGTGCTATCTTTGACTCAAGTATACTCAAACAACTAAAACTTGCTGCTCTCGCTGCTGTGGGTATAACAAATTCTAACATTTACCTCATCCACCACTCTGTGTGCTATTTTAACTGTTGTTTGAGTTTCATCACTTTCAGATACTTTCTCTGATTTTTTTTTCTCCAGTTTAATCAGAGAAAAAAGTCAAAAAAGTCTCATTTACAGTTTCCCTAATAAAGCCCACATTGTTGTTTCTTCTTGCTATTCTTCTTGTTTAATTGGCAAAGTTACATTTTCTCTGTACACACTACAACACCATGTTAGCATTTTCAGATTTTTGTCTTTTTAACAAAGAACTACAAACTCTGAACTGCCTGTAGGTGCGGATATGGAAGCGTTTGCCTAATTACATGTGTTGGTTGTAAAGAGTGCTGGATCTGATATCAGTTATAGTGTGAGCAATCCACATTACAACTGTTAGTAGTTACATTACAATCAAGCCATGCTGCTGAATCAGGTTTCAGTGCTGCAGTCAACACTGATCTCAGGTTGCTTCGCTTAAAAGCTGAACCCCATGAGATCCATGCAGGGAGTGACACAAACTTTAAACTTAACATCAGTTGGCCTGAGGTATTAGGGGAGCAAATGTGGGCTGTTTGAAATCGGATTGCCTGCAGACTGCTGTCATGTCCAGGCTGTACCCCGTTAACAGCATGTGAGACGGTGTGTATGTCATTTCTGATTTGCCAACATTGTCTTGCACATTGTGACATACCGTTTGCATGGCTTTATTACAACCGTGCATGAAGCTCTGTCAGAATGCTTGCCATCAGGTGATGACGATGTATAAACCTACCTTGCGTCCCACTTCATTGTTGTGTAAATTCATGAGTGTCCTGGCGCTCTGCTTGATCTCCCGCGCATCCACAAACACCTTGGAGAAACTCAGTCCATAGTGGATGTCCGCAGAACAGCCACCCCACTTCCAGCCCTCCTGCTGGTTGTAGAAACCCTGTTTCTCCTTGTCACAACCGCAGCCACTCAGGCTCCCCTGGGTGCAGGCCGCTGTGACTGCATGGGCGACCCCTGCGGCTATGATAGCGTAGGTGAAAGCAGCCTCCTTACTGCCTGCGATAAAGAGGAAAGACATTTCTAATCACTATCACAGACAACAGGATTCACTATTTCAGGCACTGTCAAGCCTCCTTACATACCTTTCATAGTTGCCTCAAACCAAATCATGAAATACACAAGCCGAGCCAAGTCCCCTTCATTAATCAAGCTCTCTTTAAGCAGATAAACTTCAGCAGGAAGCGTACCTCTAACAGCTCTAATACTGAACACCTTTAATAAAGGAAGGTATTTTCAAGCAACTTGTATTGAATGTGTAATGAAGTATGGTTAGGTGGGATACTACTGTAAGTGCAGGAGTAATTACACTAATTCACTGATCAGATGAGCATAATGAAACAGTAGAGGCAGATCAGAGATTAAAAGCTCGGGCATCAGCTTTGGCCCTTGTCCCAGCCGCCATCTCTCCAGGATCCACCCTGCGGAGGGGAATCTGAGAGGCATGCACAACCTCCCTACGTGGATGGATTTCCACTCCATAAATCCAAGTTCTTCAGCTGTAGTTTTTTAATTAAAGGTGGAGATCATTTCTGAGCACATGGGAAAGCATCCAGAAATGGCCAATAAAGTCATCATATTCAACTACTAACTTCTTAACCTCTGCCAGGTGACCCGTCCCAGGTTAGGGGTATTATTTAGAGGCATTTTGACCTATATGGGACAAGCAGATGGGATACCTTTAAAAGAAAATCACTATATGTAGTGATGTAATGTATGAGACTTTATTTGAAAGGTAACATTTTGTGGTTGAAGAACAACCCAACTCTCATCAGGAGCTGGGTTTTGCTTCTGTCACATTGTAACACTTGTCTAACTGTAACCACTTTTCCTTCTGCGATACCTTTCTGCAGTTCTAATGCTTAATTCTAGCTCTAACAAGTCAGTTTCAGTGCCTCACCCTAACATGTAGTTTAACTTAAAGCTGATCCTCGTCGCCCTAACCCTAGTCACTTGTTTTATGTAAATAAAACTGTGTAGTAGATCTTGTCTGCCTCGTTCTGATGTTCTTTCCACTGAAGCTCTGAGTGACATTTGCCAGCACATTCGTTGTCATTGACTCTACTCCAGGTTTAACTTGGTTGACTTTCCTAACCACATACTTGTCCCCCTGGACCTGTCCCAAATGAGCTAGTGGATGTTAAGAGATTGAACTGCCACAGAGACTTTTCCGACATTGCACAGCTTGTCTTTATATGCACACACACACACACACACAC